AAACTAAGGATTTTTCATTCTGGAAAGTTGTATGCTACACTGCCAGTCTTGTTTCATGTTAGCAGGGAACTGTATTCATGTTACCGCTATTTTTTGAATACAGGAAAGAAGCTGCGTGTAGCAAAATTTCTGAGAGAAATCTACAAGCATTTCTGCTGTGTTGGTACCTAGTAAAACAGTGAAGGTGGAAAAGTTATTCCTTCCAATATGAGGTGGATGCGTACTGTACGTGCATCCTGTAACACTGTAAGATTGGTAGCACTTCACAGCCTCACTTAGAAGATGTCTGAGAAAATTCAGATCCCAAACCTACAGCTTCAACTGAGCTCATTCTATGGAATTGTTTGAGGGTGAAAATCACTCCTTTGCGAAAGTCCAGCACAGGACTGAAAAAATCACATAAGCCTCTCTTAAACTCTCAAAAGAGGACTTGAAAGGGTAATAATTAGATCACAGATACAGATAACAAGCAGTCCCCACTCAATCAAAAGCTCTATGCCTTCGGTCTTCAACACTGTGCATCAAATTCTCCTTCGATGGCTGTGGGTATCCAGTACAACACATTACTAGTTACAGCCTAAAGCATCTCTGTAGTAATGTTTATTTTTTTTTGGATCTGCATGTCAGAAGTGCTGGAACCACTCCAAATATTTCTTATTTTAGCCAGAAATTCATTCATCATCATGAATAACTTTTTACTTTCTAGGTAATGTTTTGTTTCGATAAGAAATTTTTAATTGCCTGAGATTTTTGTCCATATTTCTCAGCAACAAGCAAGACTATCTTAACATTTTGGTCTTGCTTTAAAAAGGTACTGGGCTTTCACAGAGAGGTAGAAAAGGCAGATAACATTTATCAGCTCTAGCGAATCCAAAATATAACTACTTCTTACGTAATAAACAGAAGGGAAATGGCACAACTTTGACATTCCAGAAATTTTGCTTGCTAGAAAATATCAAAACTTGAAGGAGAAACAAAAATGAAGACAAGTGTCTAAAATTTATCTACAGCACGAACTTTTGTCCTACAGTAATATTTGGATTTGATAAATATCAGCAAAAGCCAAAACTAGTAATGGATTGCTAAATGAGACAAAAAAAGCAGGCTTAATAACGGTACTATTGCAAGGATAACCTTCCATCAACACAGGCCTTGGTAACAAAGGCAACAAATAGCTATCTTGTGAGATGTAGACAAGACCAATATTTGTACCGTCCTCTCTCCTCCCCACCAAAAAATAGAAAAACGATATAATAAACTAAAAGTGAATAGAAAATAGAAAAATGATATAATAAACTAATTAGGAGTGAATAGCATAAAAAGTAAAAAAGGGGGGGCGGGGGGTGTCAGTAAGCCCAGACACTTTGGTAATACAATTTAAAGGATTTCCCTACTCCCCATCCTTTCTGGATTTATACTAGTTATTTTGTTTAAGCATTAGCTTAAGACTTGGTGTCTAAATCACGGGCAAAAATTTAAATGGCCAAATATTGAACTTGTCCACCTCTACAAAACATTTCTGTGGGTTGGTTTTTTTCTTTACTTAAAATGATTGCGAAAGCGTCATACAGACTTTTCAGCTTACTTCCCAGAGATACGGCACATTAACTCGACTAGAAATCATGGCATCTACCTTTTCCCATATGTGATGCATATAACTTTATCCATTCATAGAAGACTCGGACTGTCATTTTGGCGAGAAGCTGCAATGCACCAGTCTGAGCATAAAGGACTTAAGTTATGGTTCTTGCAGAATTGGTTATTAACAGAATAAGTACGGCTATTTTTTTTAATCTATAATATTTACAGTATTGCACTTTACTGCACTTAATTGCATTTCACTAAAATTAATGCTGCATCAGTATTATGCCTTAAAACCATATGTCCATCTTTGTTGTACAAGTCATTCTTTCTACATCCTCTAAAACAGCGAGATTTTGATTAAAGATCCAGACATTTGGAAAAAAGAAAAATTGGAAAAATTGACCTGTTTCTATGGCACAACGCATCTCATTGAGTTCAGGTGATTCTGGCAAAACAGGTGCATTTCTTATTGTTCCCATCTTTCAAGTTATCACTAACAATTAGTAAATTCTAGTCTCTCTTTCTCCTTTCAAAGGACATAGCCATTTGAGACGCACATTTTTTGTTATTGCTGCTTTTTTTTTTTTTTAGGAAAGAAAAGGGAAAAAAAACCTGCCTTGCCTCAGATCTGAAATTCCACATTTAAATTCAAACCAGTTCTGCAGCAGCAGCTCCTCAGTGATGGAAGAGATTCATGGCAGTGAAATAATACTGTTGGCAACAAAGAAATGTCATCTTTAATGGAGACCAGCCCCAAGGATTTATTATTTATTATTATTACTATTTGTTTTGTTTAGTTTCGTTCTAATATATTTCTGATCTTCAAAACGTGTTTAGTTAGACACATGCACAAGGTAGCAAAACTGACAGCAGCAGATGACGTTATGCTGGAGCGATCACTTTTGCCAGGGTCAAAAATCCAAAGTGTCCCCAATGTTCACAGATTAACATAATTTAGAGATCGTTTCCTTTCTTTTTTTTTTTCTTTTTGTGGGTTTTTTTTTTTTAACTCTCCTTTCTCTCTCCTCCCACCTACTTTATCCTCCGCGGAGTCTCTGACTCGTGGGTGCGTGTTTGCTGCGCGCGTGTGTGTGTGTGTGTGCGTGCCGTGTGTCTGCCCGGTGCGGGAGCCGGGCGCCCTCGCCCCGCGGCGGGCGGAGCGTCCCCACCGTGCCACGCAGCACC